AGTTTGTGTTATTGTGTGTAGCCAAACCAAGGTTCTATTTTTTCCTTTGCGATTATAGAGGTACACATCAAATATCATATAGTTTACAATGAAAACCAAAGGTGCACTTCATATTAGGTTAAAAGTCACAAATAGGGTAATCAGTTTTCCTTGAGTTATAATGTTTAATTTAGCTGTCTCTGCACTGAATCTGGTGCATCTGGCAAAAAAAAAGATTTCCAAAAAGTCATCCAAGCTTGATTTGAAGATACTGAACCATGATATCATTGCTGGATCTGTATTACAAATTAAGAAGGTCTGGTGGTGAAGAAGGATAAAAGCAACATTCATGGACATCTGTTCTGAGTTCCTTGTTATGCAATGCATTTTCATGACCAACATGAAAGTACAACTGAGAACAGAAAGAAGATTACTTTTATTAGCTGGTATCTGGTATTCTTTAACTCTTTCCACTGTGCCAGTTAGGGCTCCGAGAGGATAATTCTGTGCAGAATTTCACAGATATTAGTCTTAGCCTAGACTTTCTCTGGGTGGCAAACACACAAAGAGTCAAAACAGGCTTTGCTGCTTGTGGCTCTCCACCATGCAGTTGGCAGGATTCTCTGCCCATCCTTCCAAGCTGAGCTCCTTCTCAACTGGAAGGTTTCAGCCCATTGAACTGCAGGGATCATAGGACACCCGAGAGTGGCCTGCACAGCTGACACCAGCTGGGCTGGCTGAGTTCATGGAGCAGTGCCTTCCACAGCTGCTTCTCAGCTCACGCCGTGCCAAGGTGCCTGAGCGCGCCTGACGCTTGGTGACCAACAGAGCTGCAGTGCCACTCCAAACACTTGGCAGTTCCCCTTGCCACAACCTGCTGTCTTGGCTCATGCTGCTGTGCCTTGTTCAGAGGCCACCTCATGCCTCATTAGGCCCTCTTAAGATCTTAACTCAGCAGGTGTGGCCTGGAGCTAGGGATAGAGCCATTACTGCCGGAGTCAAATCCAACGCCAGCTTTACTGCACTCATGTTTGTATGCTGCTGTTTGCACAATTGCAAAATGAAAGGGGAGCAGATGACAAGAGGATGGCACCAGGAAAATGCCCTGGAAATGCCTGCACCTTCTCACCAGCTGCAGTTCATTAACTTACCCACAGGAACTGTGTGAATACTAGTGAAGTAATCCCTCGATATTATTTTCTTTCTGGGAAATCTTCAGAGCTCTGGTCCATAACTTGAGATGCTACATGTGCAGGATTCAAGAAATAATACTTATTTTTTACTTGACATAATCCAGTGTTTTCTTCTGGCCTGGACCTGTGGGTCCTGGCATCTCAGCTGAGGAAATGCCATCTGAAGAAATCATGACACTTCTGGTGACACCTTTATCATTTCATAGGTGAGTCTACTTGTTGTTGACTTCAAAACACTGTCAACCATTTTCTATCCTGTATTTTTTTTTTATCAAGAGGAACTTAGTAAATATGCACTGTCACAGTTACAGGAAATCCTCACATTTATAAGAAATGATGAATTCTTGGACATAAAAACATCTGATGGATAATCAACATAAAATCTTAGCATTTTCACAGAATTACAGAATAATTCAGGTTGGAAGGGACCACAGTGGGTCATCTGGTCCAACCTCCATACTCAGGTGGGATCATCCTAGAGCACATGGCACAGAATTGTTTCCAGATGGTTCTTGAATATCTCCAGAAAAGGACACCTCACAGCCTTTCTGTGCAATCTGTTTTGGAACCTGACTGGCAATGCAGCATCGCTATCTGATACTTTATCCAATTTTATTACCCCTGCTATACCAGTCAAAGATGATAAAGCACATAGGATAAGTCTGAATTACTAGAAATGTGTAAAAGATCAACAAGGGTGGAAAAAAACCCCCACCAAAAGTAAAAAAGGCTGAAATCATCCATTGTAATCATGTCTATCGTCCATCCTAACCACGCCACTGTGGTCCTCACTGCTGATAAATCATGTCATTTTTTTGGTAGCCATCTTTTCCATTAAGATCTAGGTGATATTAATTTCTTGTAAAAAAATAAGTGGCCTCAGAAAAAGTATTGGGAGGCTCAGCTTCAATATCCTTTTTCCATTTGGGATGTAGTAACAGTCTGCAATGGTTTAACACCAAACAGAAACTAAGTGCTGCAAACTGCTTGACATTCCTCACCCATGCTGCTGGGATGGGGACAATATTCAGAAAATGGTAAAAGCTCTGAATTAAGATAAGTTTAATAATTTAAATAAGGCAATATAAAAAGAATAATAATTATTATTTTAGTTGGTTTTGTTGATATGGTAACTGATACTGTTATTATTTTTATTATTTACAAGAAAAGGCCAGAGAGGAATAAAACTTAAAAGAATCAAGTTATGCATAGTAAAACTGCTGACTACCCACTGACCAACACCTAGCCCATCCCTGAGCAGCGATCTGCAGCCCCTGGCCAACTTCCTTGGTGCCACTGACCATGACACTCTGTGGTGTGGAATATCCCTCTGGCCAGTTTGGGTCTCTTGTGCTGGCCATCCTCCCTTCTGGCTTTCTGTGCACCTGTTCACTGGTAGAACATGAGACTGAAAGTCCTTGATTCAGGGTAAGAACTGTTCAGCATCAACTAAGGGATCGTGTTTTTGTCAACATTCTTCTGTTACTCAGTCTGAAATACAGCTGCACCAGCTGTTAGGAAGAAGATGAACTCTATCCCACCTGAAGGCAGAACACAAATTCTGTCATTAAAAAACTTGCTTTTCTTGCAGACTCTCTTCTCAGCCGCAGTTGTAGATATGATCTCTTTCTAGTCCTTTTGGTGTTAACAACATCACAGATGTTTTTGCATATGTTGTTTAAATGTGTCCACTCTGTGGAATAATACTTGACCACCAGATCAAGTACTGCAGAGCAGTTGCAGCTTACACCTAGGGCTGCCTCTCTACAGTGAAATTGCTCTATCTTCATCCCGTAATTCTTGGAACAATCCCATAGGCCCCCATGATCCTAAGTAATTATTTTCAGATTTTTGTCCTTGAGACAAGAACATCTTATGAGTACATATAATGATGCCAGAGGATAGAAAATCTTCTGAGACAGTGTTAGAGGGCAATAAGTTCAGTGCTGCAAGTCCCAGTCTCATCCTTAGGAGAGGTTTCTTTGGAACAATCTGGACCACACAAATGTGTTTTGTTTCAGAGTGATTTTATTGGTTCCCCTCTAAAGGCAAAGCTACCATCAGTTGATGCTCAAGAAAACAGGACTTGGCATTGCAACAGTGGAGTTCAAAATCCCTGGCATAGCAGAGCCCATCACTGATCACATCACCAGTGGAGAGCTTGTATAGCAACTTCCCTCTGTTGCCTGAGGCTATTTCATTCCTTGTCTTGTTTGGATGTCAGTGGGTATAATGAGAATTGAGGTAGCAAAGGAAGTGTGCAAGGCACTGGCCTGCAGGTTGACAGGGGTGATTATCCCAAGGCATGGCCTCACTGCCCAAAGTTTGAAACAAAGGTTTTATGCAAATGGAAAATCACATAAAACGTGGTCTTATGCCACATAAACTGCAAGATGAAGACAGAAAAAAGTTTAAAAAATCTTGACTAAATTCCTTTCTTTTTGAAGACAAATCTCAAATATGGCCAAAGACAAGGACTCTTGGGGGAAATGAGCAGACTGAGAAAGCAGTGGTGTAATGGACCAAGCAGGGGTGTCTATGGGCACTACCACAGACACAAATAAAGGAGAATTTTGTCCTGGCTTAGAACATGCACATCGTGTGACGCAGGTGTTAATTCTATGATTCAATGACTTGCAACTTGTAGCCTTACAGACAGTTTGAACTTATCATCCAACAGTAACCAAAGTGTGCAGCTTCTCCTTTAGGAGTTTTGAACTACTGGCTAATAAACTTCATTTTTAAAAATATGTGTCAAATTTCTGATTTCACTTTGTGTAGCTGATGCTTGTAGTCATTAATTCTTGTTAGGCTTTTATCCACTAGATGAAAAAGTTATATCTTCTCCTCATTAATGCAAACATTTTGTAATCAGTTCATCTCTCAGTCATCTTTTGAAAAACAGGGCAGATTCAGTTCTTGAGGTCCCTCACAGGAAGGCATGTACTTCAGTCCTCTAATTATTCTTGTAACAACTTTTTGTATCTGTTCCATTTTTCCCCAGTCTAACAACCACATGGGGATGCAGTGCTCCTGTCTTGCTGTACAGTAGTAAAAAATAAATTAAAATAATAAATAAATTTTAAAAGGGTCTTTCTGCTCCTCTTCCATCTCTAGGCAGTACGAATTCCTACTAATTTATGTTACCTATGGCATCCAATTTGAAGTCTCCACTGGCTGACTTCTGCATGAAAATGTCAGAATCAGTGACTTTTCAGGACATAATTCTACCTTCCTGTGCTCTGGCTTTCATTCCTCTTCCTAGATTGGCATTTGGATGTAGTGAGATTTCTTTTTGTCTGCTTGGATAAGTGTAGGTAAGCCAGAGATAGAAATTGTTCCATGTGACAGCTGCAGCCTCACAGTTCTGTATCATCCGGGCAAGTTTTAGGGCACCTGGAAACTATACTGTCATTTTAAAGAAACACTTAACTGCAAGTGGAATTATGCTGGAGTGAGTGGGAAGGGCAAGGAAACATCTTTCCCCCTTTCTGCTTCATTAGAGTGTGAATATCTATGCATGACTGAGAGCTAGGAAGGACTGAAACATGGTCAATTTCAGAAAATCTCATCGTTGTCCTCATTTAATACTGACCTCCCTTCAGGAGTATTCTGCCTCTCTCTCCCTCTCCAAATTTTCACCATGTCTTGCAAATATCCAATTATTAGCAAGGAAATAAGGCATGTGTAGGTCACAGACAACAAATCCCTACATTTCCCAGGAAAAGGGAAAAAATATGTGCATGTAAGCAGGAATTTTTTTTTTTTTTATGTATAGAATAGGATTAAAAAATACTTGACAGATTCAGGTCTTGAAGTGACAGAAGAAGGGGTTCATTAGAAAGGTTATTAGGCACCACTGGGATGCATCTCTATGAGAATAAGTGAGTTAAAACAATGGTTGTTTTTTTTTTTATTTTATTTTATTTTATGCAAAATCCATAACCAAATAAATAAGTAAAATGCAAAGGCTATTTATTTAATTTTCATGTCTTTTTTTTTCATGGAAAAATCCTGAAGTATGGTGCTTTCTTCTGCTGTCACACATATATTCTAATGGCATTTTAGTTTTACTGCAGTGCAGCATGAATTCTTCTGCCTACATGTGTTCAGCAACAAATACAAAACAGGCCAGATCTGCAATAAAACCACTCTCCCAACCATATTTGATTCTTGTATTTACAGCAGAATTTCATTCAAAGCAAGCAGGCTCAGAAGACTGAATCTAATTTTCTCATATCACTTGGAGAGTTTAATGCTCCAGTGCCCACACTTTAAGGAAAACAAATTTCAAAGATTTTCTAGCACAGATCAACCCACATATTTAAATGGTACAATTGAATAATGTAATAGTTAACAATTCAGATGTAAACGAGTTTGCAATAAGCTTTGCAGAGGGTAGGCTCACACAAGTACTTTCACAAATACAAATTATTTTCTGAGTTGACCAAACTTTGCTTCTGTAGATTTATAGTAAATCTTAAATATTTCTCTAGGGCTCTTTAATTTCAAGAGAGAAAATAAATAGAGAAATAAAACAGGAGAGCAGTTCTGCTTCCTCTTAACATGAAGCTCCAAATCTTTTGTTTATTTGCTTTATGACAGTAGTTACTTGTCACTGACATAAACTGCAGCTGGACATAGAGCACCAAGAGCTGAATAATTCTGCCTGTAAGACCCCCCTAGCCTCACCAGTTTGAAGCAGACAGTACAGAGCCAATAATTAACCTTGGTCATGTAATATCCTTAGGAAGTTGGATTATAATGATATTGCCATGATGATGTGGAAGATAACAACATAACACAAAGAGCTGACATGAAAAAGAGCTGACAGATTAATAATTTAGCCTATTTTCCACCTGTAGTGGTTGGCATAATGAAAGGCATAACATCTTTCTGCTAGCCTTGTCTAACTTATATGCACCTCTAGATGAAAGAATAGCACAATCAATAAATATTTTCCAGTGAATTTTCTCCATTATTTGAAGATCTCTTACTATTGCCAGGTTTCTATCATTGTTTCATACTGGAGAACTGGTCTTTCTTAAAGTCATTCCACAAAAGGTATAGGATGCTTTTATGAGGTTTAACTGACTGAAGGTGAGAGCATTAATGGTTCAAAAGTTGTTTACAGTTGTGGATGGGACAACTTGTCCAGAATCTCATAATCCAGTTTACAATCTCATTGTAAGCACGTCTGATAATACTCAATGATGTTAGGATTGTCTTTCATTTCCTCCAAAGTCTTCAACTCACAGAAAACCTTTTGTTGTTATAATAAAGTAGTAGTTTGATTTTTTTTTCATCTAGAAGACAAAGAAAGGAAAAAACATGGAAGCAGTAGGAATGTTAATCTTCATTTCCAATTCCCATTTCCTATTGTATTTGTTGTGTATGTGAAAGAACTCAAGCTGTTGACTTGCACTTTTAAAATAGGTCAAGAAGAGAAATGTTTGTTTTCTGGTTTGCAGCTTGAAACAGAGCTAAAATTCAGCTTTTCAATAAATCCTTGGTTTTACTCCATGCTTCCTGTGTGACCCTGGAGAGCTGCTGTAGGGTGCAGGAGGTGAATGAATAATGACAGACTTGACTTGTATCAATGTCAGTGAGGCTGACCTCCATCTTCATGGAGAGCGTGCCACCAGGTCCTTGACCTTTGCAGAGCTTAGTGGGTGAATGGTCTTGATCTTGCAAAAGAGCTGTATAGAAAAATAGTCTGTACATAAAGAAGAGTGTTCATTTCCCAGATCAGGACAACTAAATTAAGAATATCTACTTAGCTCTGCCAGGAAATGTTGCTCACTTTCTCTGTGAGTGAAAAACAGGATGCTTTTTGGTGCTAAATCAATCAGACCATGCTCAAGGCACAAGTTTTCAAGAAATAATATCACTCTCCAGCAGGGAACAACTAGCACTGCAGAATAAATATCACAGGTAAATATCTCTTACAGCTTTCAGGTGCTTCAAGGTACTTGAAAGACTCAGAAGTGGCTAATTACTGATGGAAATACCAATACTCTCACTTCTAGATTTAGTTCTTGTCATGGTGGATGCTGCTCTTATCATCAGTGCTAGCTAAGAAATCTCTGTCTGATTCCAGTTTGCTCATCTGTCTACTTATTTTCTAAGCTCTGTATCATAATATTTGAGCATGATATCAGCAGAAGACTGGAGAGCTGATTCAAATAATTCATGTTTTACTTGAACCACAATTATCATACCAACATTAGTATCCTTCAAATCCAAGATGTGCAGCATCAAAAATGCAAGAAAAATATCATATGTTTTGTAGGGAAGTGTTTGTGTCTAAAGGAATGTAAGGGCTTCTGGACAGACTCTGAAAATTCAAAAAGAAACTGTTTTCTGTTTTTGAGAGAATACATTCTGCTGCACAGAAGAAGATATCATGCCCTTTCTTTTCATCATACAGAAAGTCTATTCAAGTTTAATTCACCCATTCAAATATTTAAGTGAGTTTTTAAAGCAATTATTTTGAGGCATTTATTCATACTCCATTTTTCCTTATAAATTTTGTGGAATTTGTGTTCTCAATAAAAGAATGTCTGCAACAAGCACTTATTCACAGGGAGTCTGAAAGAAAGAATAAGAGGTGAGAAAAAGTTCAGTGGAAATCATTCAACATTCTAATCTGAAAAGCTTGTATGCATGATTATTTCTTGCTTAGCACCTACCTTCCTGGTTAGTCTTCTCTTTTTAGAAAAGAATGGGCAAGAATTTCCTAGAAAGGAAAAAGCATAGAAGATAATTCCCTCAAGCATAGGAACAAATGTTGCTTTCTCTAAGTTTTGACTGTCAGAGTGAGAGATTTGTTATAAAACAGCAATAACTTTTGTGAAAAGCTGGAAAGGAAAAAAAGAGACAGTAAAAAGCATAGGTGGAGTCTTAATATTTTGATTAGATTAAATACTTTTCTCAATGCATGAATAATGAAACAAAAAGGAAAGCAAGAAGTAGGAAAGCTGGCAAGGCCCTTTAGTGATAACAGCAGCAGCTGGCTCACAACACTGTGTCCAAGTCACGGAGCACAACTTTCTCTGATGGACTATGTTTGTTAAAAGAAAGCTTCTTCTGAGCTGAGCAAACGAGGAAGAAATTTTTGACATTAACTGGAGCAAGCTTTAAAGACAGAGAGTGATATTCAAGCTTTAAAACACACAGGCGTCAAGAGAAAAACATAATCTGGGCAATCCTTTTATCTGGAGGGAAATTGTCCTCCTACCCTCCCCCAGACCCTTGGTCCTGGAGTGATGGGATCCCTCCCTGCTGGGTACAGCCTGGGCTGGTGCAGGAACCAGGACACCCACGGCAGTGGGGGTCACCCACAGCAATCACAGGCAAGTGATGCTTTGCATAGAACAGCCTGAAAGATTTAATGTAGCCTACAAGCCACACAACGCTACTCATCCCTTTAAAGCAAATAAAAGACTGAAAAGAAAAACATCTGAGAACTTTCAAAATGTGCCAGGGTGAAAAAGAGAGCTGTCAGAGGCCATGGCTGCACATCACAGGTGTGATTTTGCTGAAAGAGTCTTCATTTTTCTGTATCACTACTTAATTGCTTTTACCTCCTACTGTTATCCTCCTCTTTCAGACCACAAAAGCATAAGAACAGAACTATTAGTTAAGAATCTTGCAGCCTGAAACTATTTTCATCTGATGGAATCTCCTGAGACTGACATGGTTTTCCATTTAGGAATACCTTAGATACATCTCTAAGAGCATTTGGAAAATTGTCTTTGTTTATTTTCTACCTGAACCCTTTTAATTTAGTTTGAAATTAAATTAGAGAAGATATAAATATTTTTTTCTCTTGGTTGAGCCATTCAAAAGACACTCTCCATTCTGTCACACTGATTTTCTAATGCAAACTTCACAGTTCAGCTTTCAAATGTTTTTGGCTGAGTTTAGAACCTGAAACAACTTGTTTTGCTTGAATAACAGAGCTCCTTACATGTGTACTGAAAGTGAGACTGCAAACAGTCTTTCCCAAGGCTACTTTTCTCTCTAAATATGCTTCTCTTGTCATCTGTCTGCTTAGTCTAAAGCCAGATTCTATATATTTTGTTCTAGAGGAGGGTCATATTTTGAAAGATTCTTCTTTTTTGGTGCTGAAAAGCAAAAATTTTAGTTAATAGGTTGAACTATTGTGGGGCAACATGACAGAAAATATTTATGGAAATCCAGAATGAAAAGCTTCTTTCTGTTAGTCATAGCCAGTGAGAAAACCAACAGTAGAATGGGACAGCCATTTCTCCCAACTTCATAGCTACTTGTTCTGATACAGAGCAGCTTGAAGAAAGATAACTTTATCTGATACACAGTTCTTTGAAGATTGCTTTGCTTTATCTAAATTTTATTTAAATTGTTTGTTCCTCAAACCCAAAAAAACAGACCTGTCCAGGTTGGAAAGGAGAGTGAATTTTTTGCCTAGCATATCCAGATTCTTTAAAGCCATCAAGAATTGCTTAAATTAACCTGTTGCTAAATCGGTGTGAAGCTCTGGAGGGATGGTTACAGAATCTTAAAAATTAAAAAATGCTAAGAAGAAATTCAGCAGAAGACAACTCCTTCAACAACTCCTATTCTTGCATCCCTGGGACTTCATAGAAAAACCTGTCTGCTGCTGTGATGAGGCTGACTAGGTTTTCTACCAGCATCCCTGTTTTCTCATTAGATTTACAGGGAAAGGTTAATTTTTAGGAATCTTCTTAATAGTCCTGTAACATTTCAAGGTTAGAAGTGAATGACAGCTGACTAAAATTGATCATTAAGATAAGTCAAAGTCAGTGAAGAACCAAAAGTGGAAATAAAGAAATACCAAAGTGACAGGGCTTCCTCAAGGATACAGAAACCACTATTGACAGCACTGGTCTTCTAATCCTTCTTAATACTTTTTCCATTTTGAAAAAATTAACTTTGTATTTGCTTTCAATTCTTGCCTACTGGCTGTATTATTAATTTATTAACATTTATCTATTATTTATATAGATATTAATTATTGATAACTAATTTATTAATAGTATTTTCTTTGTGAAAAATTGCAGTAGATCAACATTCAACTTAAACACATGACAAAAAACACTTGTAAATTAAATAGTAAGCCCAAAGAAATGAATATTAGGAAACAACTATTAAAAGGTATTTAGTGTTTAATAATTAACTGCATGAATTGCTTATTCGCAATAGAATTCACTCACAAAGCAATTCCTTTGATTAAATTTTTACTTTGGTGGGGTCCACATAGCACTCCCAATGCTTTTCATGTAGTAATCTAACACAGCACAAAGGTCCAATACTGCAGTGAGCGGCTCATGAACAATTTATTAATCACTTTGCAAGATCACATGCACTCTATTGAGAAAAATACATATATGTTTCTTAGCTTATTGGTTATAAATTATTCTCCCACTTGTATTTCAGATGCTTTACATCACCAGGCATATTTTTTTTTCAGAATTTCTTTTTTGCTTCAGTTGTATAGAACCTTCAAATTCATTCCTTGAATTCTTGAGTCCTGCTACTATTACTCCTGTAGCAGCCCCAGGCACCTATAGAGTGACTTAATGTTAATTTAGTGCTCCCTGAGATGTTTTTCCCTGACATCCTGAAAAAAAACTCCTCTTTTATTCATATGGCTAAGTGCAGCACAGAAGGAATTTTACAATCTTCCTGAACAGTCCAGCAAGAGATGAAAGGATAATTCCTTCATTTTCAGTGTCTTTTCCTAAATATTTTTGATGACACATCCAGAGTCCAGTATCTGACGTGAAAGTGGTTTGTGTTGTGGTCCCTGAGAGTGAACTTTAGCAGTTATTTCAGTCCTAAATGGTTTTCATTCTCCACCAATATGGACTGAAATGGATCAATGGACCTCATTTTGGTTCTTGCACTGAGGGTAAATGTTGTAGGTAAAGTAGAAAAGGTGGGATACTCTCAGGGTTTGCTTCCATGAGAGGTGAACCAAATTAGCCCATTTTGGCAATTTATTTAAGCACCAGAATAGTTTGTGTGCTTGTGTATTTGGAAGCTGGCAGAACTGAATTCCACATACCAAAAACATTCTCATTTATTCCATTCTGTAGCCAACCCTTTAAACGAGATAAAAGGTTCAATTCAATCTCAGGGCATGTGCACAGGTATCCTCTCCCCCTTCCCTCTTCCTTCACGGTGGATTAATTTACTTTTTAAACCAGAACAAACCACAAACCAGAAAGGGCTGTCAATACTTTGAAAAGGAGGTGAACAAAGCAAGGAGACTCCTCGAGGCAGCCTCAAGCAACCTATGATGGGAGATCTGAACAACAGAAAGGACGTGGCTAAGATGGGACTTCAGTCTTTGAAACTGTGACCCCATGACATTTCTGTGCCTCCCAACCATGTGTATTTCCTCTTAAATCCTGGCATGTATTCCTTTTACATCTCTTACACTTTTCCCTAAAACAAAACCCTACAACTGATTTTTTTATTACCACCCCAAGGTCAGTCAATAGTGTCTGAAATTTCACGCAGCATCTTGTTAAGATTACAAATGGAATTGTGATTATGTGGAACCAAATGCTGTGGCCAGGTCTGCTTTGCCCCTTTCAGATACAAGTAGAGAAGGTTTTCCTCACATGCCAATGTGTTGTGTTGCAGCTTCAGGCTTGATCTTGATTAGTACTTAAAGGCATATCACTGGGAAGTATTAGTGGAGGAATTAACAACTGCTGGATTCTGCACCCGGGCCAGGGCAGCCCTGGATGTGTGCACAGACTGGGGGCTGAGACTCTGGAGGGCAATGCCACAGAAAGGGTCCTGGTTGATGGCAAGTTAAACATGAGCCAGCAGTGCCCTGGCAGCCAGAAGGGCCAACCCTGTCCTGGGGGGCATCAGGAGCAGCACTGCCAACCAGGCAAGGGAGGCGATTGTCATTGTCTTGCTCTGCTGCAATGGGGTGGCCTCACCTTAGTCCTGGGGGCAGTTTGAGGCACCACAATATAAAAAAAGATATAAAGCTATTATAGAACCTCCAAAGGAGGGCAACAAAGTGCCATGAGGAGAAGCCATATGAGGAGTGAGGTCACTTCTGCTCAGCCTGGAGAACACTGAGGGGAGACCTCATTGCAGTCACAGCTTCCTCATAGGGGAAGAGGAGGGGCAGGCACTGATCTCCTCTCTGATGACAACTGACCCTAGGGAGTGGCCTGAAGTTGAGTCAGGGGAAATTTATGTTGCATATTAGGAAAAGATTCTTTTTCCAGAAGGTGTTTGGCCATTGGAACAGGCTCCCCCAGGGAAATGGTCACAGCCCCAAGCCTGACAAAGTTCAAGAAGCACTTGTACAGTGCTCTCAGGCACATGGTGGGATTGTTGGGGTGTCCTGTGCAGGGCCAGCAGTATTCTATTTTCTGTATTCCATGATTCTATAATTCTTGCTCTTGAGAAGCCCCATTCACAAGGCAGCACACTGCAAAGCAGCCTCCACTCTGCGAGGTGCTGCAGGGCCAGCCACAGCACTGTGAATCCTGACACTGGGGAAGAGGTGGGCTGACAGATAGCTTGGGGAGAGAGGTGCTGGCAAGCCTAAAGATGGTGCAGAGGTTGAAGCAGAAACTGAATCAGAAAAGTCAAAGTGGCAGATCTTAATTGAACTTGCTCATGATTTATACTGAAGTTTTCCCATGGTGAAACATCCAGCCCCTCTCCACGCACATGCTGCGCTCCTTCCTTGCATGCTCTGTTTAGCAATGAAGTCACTGACCTTTTCATTGTCCTCATGATGCTTCCAAGTATTGAATGTCGGCTGTTTTCATCTCCCAGATGCTGGCAGTCCTCTTCTTGCTGTGAACTATTTTAGGTTTATAGAAATTTTATAAGTCCACTTCTGGAGGCAAGGAATCGGTGAAAGAGGATAAAAGGTATCAGAATAAAATATTAGGAGATTACTGTGAAAAAAAAAAAAAAAAAAAAACTAAGGAAAGATTCACATGGGAAGTATCCTTCCTCAGGGCAAGTGCAGGCTCATCTATGCTACTGGATAATGGTTTCCTGACATAAAATTATTTATTGTCCAAGATTTACACCATCTTGGGATTCCTTGTGGTCTCATGCTTTATCTCCTGAAGACATTGCACTCAAGAACAGCTTCAGAAGTTCCCAGATCCTATTGGTTTTTCCTGATTTCTAGCTTTGGATTTGTCTATGGAGAGGCATAAAAGTCAGAGAGTGTACTTTTCATCTATTTTAAAGGAGACATTAAGGAGAAAAACAGTAATTAGAGTATAATATCCCTGTGATGTGAGAGAAAAAAAGAGGCAATGCATACAAAAAAAAAAAAGAAAAAAGCTCTAAATATACTCCAGAGCTGTCATGCAAAATAAAAAACAAAAGCATTTCCATTATGTAAGCTACATCAGAAAACATTGCCAGTAAAATATTTTTCTCATTGCTTTTTCACCAGGAGGTGGGGCTGTTAAGCACTGGATTTATTTGGTGATGCACTGAAAAACTGTGGATAAAATGAAAATCATCTTTCTCTTCCTTCTCCCTGTGAAATTCATTGTATAAATGTGAAAGAAAAGCATGAACTTGCTAGATATTTTAAGCACTGATTTCATATTCTGATTCAAAAACTGAAATAACCTTAAAAATGATTTTGCAATGGTTTAAATGAACTGCCTCTGGGAGTGAATTAAGTACCAATAGCTAATTAAAACATTAACTTGGGAGACAGGAAAACTCAGGAGGTTTGTAATTATTACTATTCTCAAGTCCCTATTGTGTCTATTTCTAGGACAGCTCTGCAATTCACTTAAGAGGCTTAAGTCACAAAAAAGAAATCACAGGACATTGCAATGCTGCTAATTGCATAATGAAAAGATAAACACATTTAAGGTCACTTGATTCTAATTCTGACAAACTGCCACAAGGGATGGAAGCAGCTTTTCTAAAGTAAAGAGCCTGAGCTGAGGGAATTGCTTATTTTTGGTGCTTCAATGGCTCCTGCTTCATCATGTCTGAGGAAGATGCTGCAGACCCCTGTGGGATGGGAAGATGCAGACAAAGGAAAAAAACACATGACACAGCAGGGAATCAGGTGCAGGCCTGAGCCCTCACCTTGTTCCCCAGCCACTGAACCAAGATGCCTTAATGACAGTTCCACTTGCCCCTCTCCCTTATCAGAAGGTACAAGTAAATATTGAAGATGCACTTCCTCATAAAAGATGTGTGAAGGGCATGTTGTCACTGGACAGACTTGCAGCTAGGAAAATTTTTGCAGCTATCATAATTTAAAGGGATTCTTTTCCCCATCATGCTGTGTTGCAAGCTCTCACCTAATATATCAGGAAATTTTGTTATCGCACTGTGCAGATCTGCTTCTGCACCTGCAAAGAAAACACTTCTGATAGACATCTCCAGAGATTGTCTGTCCTTTCCCTGTCCTCCACCTTCCAGTGGAAGGCATCCCTGCACATGCAACTGAGGTTGGATTAGATGATCTTTGAACTCTCATCCAACCTAAACCATTATATGATTCTAGGATTCAAAAAATACCCTGGGTGCAGCCCACCCTGAAACAGAGCTGAAGACTGAAGTCCACACAGTGAATTGCAATAGACATCCACCTTAGGCATCCCAAGTGCCCTTACCTGGTCAAAAGACTTTAACTGCATCCTCAAATTTGCCACATCAGAGGTGGCCCTGATCTGTTCACAAGCCAAGGTCACAGTCAGGAGCTGACTGGCTCAGAGAAGATCATCAAGACACATTTACCATGGAGATGTGACGCAGTCACCAGGCAAGTGAAGTCAGGATTAAATCTGGCCACTGGTGCAGTGGAGTTCAGGGGCAGTGACAGATCTTTGTGTCCTGTGGCAGGCACAGCTTCTGCCAGCTCATCCAAATGCTTCCTCCCACTCACAGCACAGTCCTTCCCTCTCCCCCAGGATGACTCATGCCGTGTTCACTTCCATCCACAGCCCAGTGCCTGCCAGGCACTAGGAATAAAGCACAGGAGTGTGGCCTGGGCTATCCTGGTGAGATCTATCTGCAGTGTATGGGGGAATTTGCTCTCCCCCATGACTTCATTTAGGCACCAAGCAAGATGGAAACTCATGAACAAGAGGGCTTTTGCTATAGTCAGCTTTCTTGTGTAGTGCCCTACCTGAAACTTCAAAGTTTTCAACCCCAAAATATTTTGAAGCCATTCAGCACATATTTGTGACCAATAGTTTCAAAGGTTAATAATAATAAAGTCAAATAAGGGTGGATACCTTATTCCCATCCATAAGTAGAGAGCATGAAGTAGGCAATAGTTAATGGCTCTTAGTATTAGGAAGGAAGGGACTATGCAGCATTTAAGTTTCAATTCTTGGACTCATAAATCACAGATTTCATACTTTAATGGGGAAGATTTCATTTTTTACCTCAGATTAGTCACCCCACACGATTTCTAAATGCCCCATACAGATGCTGTTAATACCCACTGCCATAATGTGCTGGTAGTGTAGAGTCACAGACACTGAATCACAGAATTATTTGGGTTGCAGGGGACCTTTAGAGGTCACCTGGTGGAACACCCCTGCCTAGGCAGGGTCACCTAAAACAGGTTATTCCCACAGGAATCCCTCCAGGTGGGTTTTGAATGTCCCAGAGAGGGAAACTCCATAACCTCTGTGAACAACCTGTCCCAGTGCTCTGCCATCTTCAAACGATTGAAGGAATTTTTTCATGTTGAGATGAAAATTGTGTTATAGTTTAAGACCACTGGTCCTTGTCCTGTCCCTGGGCACTGCTGAAAAGAGTCAGGCACCATCCTCTTGGCACCTGCCTTAGAGAAATTTGTATACATTGATGAGATCTCCTCTCAGTCTTCTCTTCTCCAGACTCAACAGCAGAGATCCCACAGTCTGTCCCCATAAGAGAGATGCTCCAATCCCCTAATCACTGCAGATCCTCTCCAGTGGCTCCTTGTCTCTCTTGTACTGAGCATCCCAGCCTCACTCACTGGGGCTGAGTGAGGGGCAGGATCACCTCTGTTGGCTTGCTGGCATTGCTCTTCCTGATGCAGACACCTGAAAATATTTAATGCTGAAATTTTGGAATCAAAATAAGAGCACTATAAAAAGTACTGTAAAATCCTGGTAGACCTCTGTGAGTGTCCAGTCCTTGATGTCAAGGCCAACAGCAGAACAAGGTCAGGACATACTGACATATCAGAGTATCTTGAAGACTTTGACCAGAAAAAAATGCAGAGTAATCTGCCCAGATATTAAATTCCTGTCATAAAACATACTGGACTGGTGGGAAGGCAAAGTCATAAGCTATTCTGGGGAGAAGAGATATTATTGCAGTGTGATATAAAAGCTGCAGATGGGAGTTTTACTGTGGCTTCAATGGAGCCAAAATATCGTCCTACAGCACTGAACCCTTAAGTTAGAAGTTTTGGGTATAGCATGTAGTCAATTGACCATTGTGCACTTCTCCTTACCTGAAACAGGGCAAATTAACTGACTTATCATTTTATGACTTAACTATTATGAATTATTAATTCCTTGGCTATCGTTAGTCTTTTTTTTTTTTTTTCTTTCTTTTTTCTTTTTTTTTTTTGTTTCTTCTTATGTTCAAAATACAGTAAACCCAGTAAAATCAGAACCTATTTTGGTTTTCATTAACCCTTTTTTCCTCTCAGTCTGCAGCAACTTTCTAGTCCTGCAACTTTGTTTTACCTCTGGCAAAAACTTCACACTCATTTAGTATTAAAATTTGACAAACTGGAACATTAAAGTATAATTATCAAGTAGTTTGAGGCTACAGTTTAATCTACTATAAAGCTGACTCAGTCTGGTAGGTAATGTCTTGTGGTAGATTTACTCTCTGTGCTTAAAATACTTTTTCATTACTTACAGCTTAAATAATTATGCTTGACATTGCAATATTCTTCTTTGCATACAGACATAGGTGAACTGATTTGATTGTAGCATCTTATGGGCAAAATTGCTGTGTTTCTGCCTTACACATGACTGAGAAAATTAACAGGTAAAAGCAATAAAATAATGAATCTCAATCAGACAGGAGAAGGGGTGTAAGGTATAAGACAATATTTGCATCCTGATTTTGATTTGAATCTATTATCTTTTGTGGTGGAAATAAGAGAAGAAAACACATGAGCTTTCACATCTGGAACCTTCATATGCAAATGTTCACAACCTTTGCTCAAAGTGGACTTTGGTCCCACCAAAGAGGTACTGGAATTTCTAGCACCTTTGTCTCCCTAAACAAATAGGGCAGTAGATATCCATAATTTCCCAACTCCAATCGTCATGTGGTATTTCCTTCAAGGATATTTTGAGCAACGATATTTACAAATATAGATTGGAATTAATCTATTAATTGAAGGGAGTTCAAGGTTTGGTCAGGTTGCTGTTGTCTTTCTTGTGCCAAAAAGCACAAATCTGTTTCAAGCAAGGTCTCTCCCCATCTTGAGGTTGATGAGGTGTAATGTCATGGACCAAGAAAGAGCCAACAAAAAGCCCAGCTATGATGAGTTTTGCTGTATGCAGAACATGAATTGAAAGGTGGTACTCTCAGCCAAAAGAAAACTAAAAGGACAAAAAGTGTAGCAGATTTATTTCAAACATTTTTACAGGGTGCCAATAATGAAGAAAAAATTATGGACACTATAAAGGTAGTAGAAAATGTGCTTGTGAGCAGAAGTCAAAGTTCAGTTTCATTTCCCTGTGTCAGACTGCTCTTGCTGTACTGTAAACGTCTATGATGAACATTTATATTTCAAAAGTTTTCTAGGTGTTTCCAGTGTAGAAAACTGCAGAGTGTGATAAAAATTGGCACAAGGGCTCACCCAGATCCTGATCCCAGTTTCTCAAATTTGAAATGGGCTCAGAGGAGATCTCATTTGGAGCTGCTCTCTGAAGACAGCACATCTCTGCTCATACCTTCAATCCATTTTTTAG